AAAAAAAGAAAAATCTAGATTTGAGTTCTTTGTCAGTTATACATTACAAATATCTTTTCCTATTCTGTGGCTGACACTTTCTTATTGGGATCTTTTGATAAGAAGAACATAGGGTATCACACTAATATGGTGAAGTATATTAAACTTTTAGAACCTTTTGTGTCTTCTTTATGAAGACTCTTTACCCTGAGGTCATGAAGATATTCTCTTATGTTGTCTTCCAACGGCTTTATTACGTTTTCTGCACAATGAGGTCTATAATTCACGTGGAATTTATTGCTGTCTTTATTGTAAGTTGGGGAGGAATCTGATTTCACATTTTCCATGTGAACACTCAGTTGTCCCAGCATAGTTTGTTGAAAAGTAGGTGCTTTCCCCCACTCCTCTGTGTGCCACCTTTGTCATAAATCAATTGTTCAAATAGGTGTAGGCCTGAATCTGGGTTCCCTACTGTTTTCCGCTGGTATGTTGGATCTTTGTACCAGCACCACACTATCTTAATTCCTGTAAGTTTATACTTGGTAATAAACTTTACTCTCTTGTAGAGCAAGTCCTCCCACCTCTCATCTGTTGGTATCTTTGAGGCCAGGATCACTCATACACACAGGTCCATTCAACCGTCAGGCAATGTGCGGGGTGAGGTGGGGTGAAGTGGCTAGGAGAGATGCTCAGGGGGCAGATGGCGAGAGCAGAGCAAGGATCCTCTCTGTTTCCATGGCACCGTCCCAAGGGGCGGGTACATATAACCACAGTGCCAATCACCCTGTAGGGAGATCATAAGTGCGTCAGCGGGCTCCCTCGTCACTTATCCCAAAGGGGAAGACATCTCTCAAAACCCGATACTAATTCAAAAAAGACAACACTCCACGCACATCTCTTCCACACTATCCTAAAGGTGAGCCCTTGCTCGCAAGCTGCGTGCCCCTGGTTAGCACCCTTAACGCCTATCCTGGACAGATTCGCCCAGAAAGATGTCCTTGACCATTTGGGAAACCCCTTAGAGACTCCTATCCTTCGCTGGGAAGAAATGCACCATCCACGGTGAGAAGCCGCCAGCTGAGATACCTTGGGGGGGCTAAAAGGAACCGAAGAACCGAAACCCTGACTTAGGGACTGTTTTCTGACTAAATCACACAGACAACCTCGGTGCCTGAGCACTAGACAACCGAAACAAATGCACTAGCAGGATTCTCTGAACACCATCTCCGGGCTTGCAGCCTGGTTTACTGCTCGTGACCAATGGGAGTTCCACGGGCGCCGTTTCCCCGCCCCTTGAGCCACATCATTCGCGGCTCATAGAGCAGTCACATACGGCGCTCCGCACAATAGCCAATAAGAGAAGGGCGCCCGACAGCTTTTGGGCAAGGGTGGGCCTCCTAGACCCGCTTAAGGTGCTGTGTACCGCGGGATCGAAGAAGCAACCTCGGGATCCTTCGGGTTCTTTCGGGTTCTTCCCTCCAGGGTAAAGTTGCGTTCCATCTCCCATCAACGAATTTATTTTTCTGCCCTACTCTCGCGCGTGCGCACTGACAATCCCTCGCGACCAGAAATGAAAGCATCTAGAGAAAGGGGGAGGGACCCTTAGCCTCAGTCCGGCGGGTCAGCTGAGCTACAGCACAGGCCTAGATGGTACCTCGGCAGCAATCCCCAAAACAGGAATTATAGGACCAAAAGATCTGGTGAGGTCCCACCGAGATTTGAACTCGGATCGCTGGATTCAAAGTCCAGAGTGCTAACCATTACACCATGGGACCCGCTGGCTGCATTAGGCGGCCGGTAGTCTTCTCAAGCCACAGGACGCAATGGGCAGGTTTTAGGAAGCTGTGGTGGAGTTTTGGTGCGCCAGAGTGGACGCAGGGTCCTGGCCCGGCCCGCGCAGGTGGCAGAAGCGGTTTTACCAGGGCTTCCGCGTCCCTCCGTTGCAGGGGTTCCCGGTCCGGAAGGAGTCTTCTCTTCCCGCGCTCATCTGGAGGTATGGACCCACGCCCCAGGAAGTCCGAGGCGCGGTGGGCTGGCTAGACTCGCGATGCTGGGATGTACTGGGGTCTGGAGAAAGCTAGGTCCGGCCCAGGTCCCCAGACAGAAGGCGCGGCGCACGCAGCTTGGGCTTAGCATTTGCTCATTTATTTATTTATTTATTTACAAGGGGGAGCGCTGTACGAGGGACACTTTGGCCAAGCGGGGAGGGAAGCGGACTGGCACGTGGGGGGACGGTGGTTCAAAACCCAGATACTCCCTGGGACGCACGAACGGAAACTAGGAAGTGTGCCGCTTGGCTGCGTTGCTGCAAGTCCCGATGTTCCGCGTGGCTGGAGCTAGAGAATTGCACCTAACGCGCGCGCCTGCACTTCTGTGTGCCTTATGGAGCCACCTGGTGGGACTCCTAAGATTAACACCAAGATACTGACTCTAATTTGATGGGCCATTACCTTTTCGTTAATCATTGGTTTCAATCAGATCAGTTAAAAAGAAGCTTACCCCTTTGGGCTTTCTTTCACACTTTAGTGTGGCACCAGAGCTGGCATCTTAACCAGACCGCCCAGGATCCCGACCTTGCCAGAGTTCCTCGCTGTGTAGATCCCCCTTGCTTTTTGTTTATTTTCGTGATTTTGCTTTTTCAACCTCCATCTCGTGCTTTGAGCTGACATCTTTCAATAAGTCCCTTTTCTTAATATCCTTTCGTGTTGCACACAGTTAAGAACATCGTTAATCTAAATCTGAAAAGGTCTGTTGATTTGTTAGCCTCTGGCAAGTAAATTTATAAGGGCTTTCTGTTTTTCTGCATTGCTTAAAAACATTCTCTTGGCTGGTGCAGTGGCTCACAACTGTGATTCTAACACTCTGGGAGGCCAAGGTGGTGGATCCCCTGAGCTTAGCAATTTGAGACCAGCCTGAGCAAGAACAAGACCCTATCTGTATTAAAAATAGACTATCCAGGCATGGTGGCACACACCTGTAGTTCCAGCTACTACAGGTGGTTGAGACAAGAGGATGGCTTTGAGCCCAAGAGTTTGAGGTTGCTGTGAGCTATGATGCCACAGCATTCTAGCCTGGGGCAACTCTGTCTCAAAAACAAATATTTTTTCTTACAACTCTGGCATATTATCAGAAGAAAGAGTAAAGCTTTTCCATTTTGAGGAACATACCAATTTCCCCTTGAGCTCCTCTGGTGGGGTGTTCAGTTAAAGCCTTGGCTTCCCGAGTAGCTGGAACTACAGGCAAGTACCATTGCGTTCAGCAAAATACACAGTTTTTTAATTTTGAGGGACAGCAGAATCTTGCTTGTCACTTGGGCTACAGTACTATGGCCTCAGCCTAGGTCACAGCAACCCCACACTCCTGGGCTCAGGTAGTCCTCCTGTCTCAGCCTCCCAAGATGGAGGGTTGAGTGGAGAAGTAGGGTGGAGGATAGGGACCTCTTAGAAAGTTAGTGGTCCTGAAACTGTTGCTAGTGTCTGGAACACAGACTATGATTCAACAATGTAGAATCATGAGAAATTGTAGGGGGAAATCAGAATGTTGGTAGATGTTAGTGATTTCATGCAGTCTTCATGATGGTCCTATAAGAGACAACTTTTAGACTGAAAGCGCCCTGGTTTGTTTTTTTCTTTTTCTTTCTTTCTTTCTTTTTTTTTTTCTAAAAGCAGCTTACAATCTATGAGTTGGGGGTGGCAGTGGAAAAGCTGAATTCTAGCTCCTTAGAGAAAGTCAGCATCAGCAGACACAGGAGACTTAGCAGGAGACTAATGCGTGAGCAAGCAAGCAGCCTGCTGCATTGCACCACCCACAAAGAATGGGGCAAGAGCAAATTATAGATGATCCCTCTGTACCTTAGATGACTATTTTGAATAGCCTTGAGGCAAAGGCCATTTAACTGAGCCCACAGGCATAGAGGCCTGTGGTTACAAGAATAGATTTCCCAGTCTCAAGGACTATGTCTAGAGAAGATGTCTGGCATTGACTGGAAATGACAGGAAACCTGTAAGTTTTAAGAAATTGCCAATGAGATCTTTCAAGCCTAACTAATAACAGCTAATGAGTTTTTACTCCTACGGACCTCCCCAGGTGCTGACCACCACTAACAGGCAGTGGGCAGTTAAAGTTGTGTAGGCTTCCAAAAGGTCAACTTGCCCAATGCCCACCAGATATGGATCTAGAAGATAAAGGACAGGGGAGAAGAGAGAGAAAAGAACCTGGAACTACCAGATGGACTAACTGAGCCACTTCTTCCACTGTCAAGACCTTGAATCCCTGCTGCAGGGTCATAGGATCATAGGACACCTGTGGTCTGCCTTGCCTCTTGGGCTTCAAGCTATGTGAGACAGTTTAAGACATTTGGGGCAAGTTTCTGTTACTTGCAGGTAAAAGCATTTTCAAAGATATACTTTTTGTAGTGGCATTATGTATTTTTGGTCTATCAATAATTAAAACATTCGAGGCCAGACCTTCCTAAGGTAGAGGAGAAAGTATTCAGAAGCAAGCTGACCAGTCCCGATTTCCCCTTCAGCCACAGGAAATGCACATGCCCATGC